TGGCCCCCGGATTGAAAAAAAAAAAAAAAAAAAAAAAAAAGCAGACACAATCCCCCCCCGCCGTGGCTAATCAGTGACCCACCCGGCCCAAACACCGGAGGCGGGTGAAGCCATAATTTGACAGAATTGACTGGCACAAGCCATTGCTGGAGACAAATTAGGCACAGTCTTGCCCTGGTTATGGACGGACCTCAACAGCAGGCAAGTCTTGAACACCACCCCCCCCGAAAAAGGAAAACGACAAGAAAGAAAAACAACACCAACCAATCAAACAGACTAAAGCCGAAAAAAGCAACATAGCAGAACTCGATATGGTATGCGCTAACGATAAATGATTAGCAACCACAGAGGGACACACATTCCTTGCTCCAATGCTGTAAAACTTTACCTGTGTTAAACGACTGCTATTACGGGGGAAAATTCAAGGTCCTGGATTTCTTACAAGAAATTATCCCCTCAACACGGGGCCGGTCTGGGCACCGGAGGCGGCAGAATTGGAATGGAAACACGAATGATTGCCTCAAAAGATAACACAGTTAACACACACATGATTAAAAATACACAGGTGATTTTACGTGAGAGAGTTTATTCATCAACTGAAAGGATCAACTCTTTTTCATGTCAAAAACGAAAATGTGGTTTAAGAAAAAACTGAGGCCATGTGGGAAAAGGTACCATTAGGTATACAGCTATTCAGAGAAAGTATCGCAAGATTAAACAGGTTTCAAAAGATGCAAGGACAATTCTTATTCTGTTCACAAACATGCAGATATTTTCCCAGCATGAGGTTTGCTTTATGTAATTCAGTGCTTATCACGTCTTCCAAGTACATTTGTACAGCGCAAAGAACCAACAAAATGCACATAACGGTTGGTAGAATGTTCTTTGTACCATTTACAGTTTGTTGGTCAAAAATGCTAATATCCTATCGTGTCCATAAACCCTTCAGGTATTCATCACATCTGTTCTTTGTGCATTTATAAACAATAGGTTCCAATATTCAGGGTATTTCACCATGTAGATGTGTTGAAGAGACAAAATATTGGTTTTTATGGCTATTATATTAGCAGAAAGGTCTACGCTCCATATGAAAAAAAAACACCTTTCAAGTGTGATATTGCTTGCTGTGGACTTCTATTTTTGTAACAAAGAGCACAACATATTATTTTGCTTCCACGGTTAGGATATGAGTTTACTCTATGTACAATAAAGCATAGCTCGAAGCACATTCGGTTATCTAATAGGCCTTCAATATTGTTAGATCAATGTTATCCTTCTTAACGATGTATTCCGGATGTACAATGGCAGGATGATGTAAAATTGAATCTTGCGCGTTTGAATTTTTCTTACGCAAGCCATTCGGTTTAAGTCGCCATTGATGTTTAGCAACAGCAGCTCGAACTGACAGTTCGTGTTGCAAAGTCAGTTTTAACTTGAATCGGAACCATTATCTTTCCAACATTTGAAGAGATCTTAATAGCTCAAAAACATCTGAATTGAACAAAAAAAACTCCGAGTGTCTGTCCGTCTGTCCGTCCGTTTTTACGTCTGTTTCCTTGCAGTGTAAACTCTGCATGCAAAATTCCGCTCGGCTGTTTCCTGGGGAATCACTTTGTACAAGTGTATTTTGGGGGCAGTAAGCTTGCAAGAACCGATTCAATCATACTATTTAATAATTGATTCAGTGGCTGATGGATGGTGGTTCTGCGTGACCTTTTTTCAAGGATTGCGGCTTCTTCTAGAAAACAAGACCCTGTCTTGTCCAGGTTTACTACACGACAGCCAACTCTTGTGCTTAAAACCTGTCTGCATTCGAGTGAACACTGTCATTTTATGTATATGCGTGTACTATAAAAAAAGATGTAAATCGTACTAGCTTCCAACGTTGGTCAAATCTTAATACACAGTGACCACCAGCTGCGGTTTGAATAAAATTGCCCGACATGTTCACAGCTTTCTCCAGTGTCTACGAGTTGAAATACCTTCAGGGCGATTCGTAATGTTGGAAAAATCATGAAATGCAAATTTAAAGGAAACATTGTTTCCATCTTTTCTCTCTATCTCCATTTTTTAAAATGATGGGCGGGTAGTAATGATCTTTAAGTCATTGGTGGATGTCCACAAACCACGCACTATCTGTCCAACATAAACAAGGGGATTACCTCTGATACGGCCCCTTACAGATTTCCTTCAAAATAAGTAAACCTATAGTAGGACACAAAATCATATATAGATCGCCGTGCTGTGTTATAGCAAAAACACCGCCTTGTGTGTCGAGAAAGCACTGAATAGGGTTTGCCTTAAACTCGGTCAGGCTAATGCATAATTTATCAAATAGTGACAAAAGCCGAATGCCGTTACTCCTTAGAGACAAAGACTAACACGATGAAAGGTCTCTCCGTTTGAAATTATGACAGATAATCCTAAGGAGGCAAACCTATATTACACAGAAAAAAAAGAAAGAATAGTGATGAAAGATTCTAGGCAAAGAGCAGGTGGCTAAGGGTAGCGCGCAGAGTTTTGTGTCAAAAAAGTGATGAAATGAATTGACGACGGATCCAAATGAATTAATTCATTTTCTTTCCTGCAAAATTCCAAGTACTGGTGGGACAAGCTTATGATCCTATTACTCTGATGACCACTGAATCCAATAACACGTCCAGTGAAAGACACTGCAGATAAAGTTGGAAAACATCAGAAACGATGGAGGACCTGAAATTCTACCCGATGGGGCACCCCGGGAGACCTTCCCCGGCGTTATTGTCTGTTCGAAGGGTCAGAAGTAATTGGCGAGGATTGATAATTGCAATGGTAATATGATCTTTTTTAAGGGATCGTGCATGGGAGAAGGTGTCACGGGGGTGTTGGTCAAAGATTAATATTTAAGATGGTTGCACGCTTCCGGAGATGCGTGGGGTGGGTGGAGGGGGCACTTATGCTATGGTTTGCACAGACTTAGCCATGTAATGCAGTCCTCCTCGTGTGCTTTATATTCTTCTGATGAAAGAGCCTTAGAAGTTTGTCGGTCGTACTTACGTCTTCGAGTTCGTGTAAGTCGGTCAACGTATTCAAGCAGGGAAAAGTCCAGTTTTGTAACGAGGGGTGTGGAGTGGCAGAGTGCAGCAGGCTGGGGAATTTAAAAGCCAAATCGGGACATCAATAGAATGAAAATGGAGGAAATGAAAAGTACAAATAATACAGGCGATTCACAAGAATGCGCCTCCAAGAGTTCGTAACGCGTGGGCCGATTACCGTAGGAGAAATCTGTCGACCGAAGACGCATTTAGAAAGGGTCGACAGATTTCGCGCATGGTGATTGGCCAACGCACTGCAAACTCTTGGATGCGCACTATTGTGAATCGCCCGTACGCGTAATGCATACCAGGATGTCGAAAGCATTATAATGGTTATCGTTGAATACTGTATATATTACGAATTCAATCGCAAATCTTAGCCTATTGCTATCTTCTCGGCCAATTTGGAATACTGTTTAAACCAAACTGCCAAAAAATATCTTTGGCTATGTTGGGAATAGTCTGGTGCAGTGGTTGACAAAAACGAAACATAGGCCCAACGTCATTTTTTTAATCAATCTTTTTAGAGAACGGGAGTAAATTAATCGAACAAAGAGTTCTTTTAAGATTTTGAAAGAATTGGGGCCGATCTTTTAGACATTGTTTTATTTATTTTTGTATTTTAGAATGAAATTTAGATAATGTGCGGTTAAATTTCAAGGGGTTATATGGAAATTATTCTTGGCGATCCCGGACCGTCTTAGGTAAGTTTCGACAAAGGACGACGTCCAAACTGAATGTGGATGCTGAGCGGCGAAGTGCCGAAACCAGACACCGACGTCACGAACGGCAACAACGGCGCGACTGATCTACCCTATATCCCCAACTCTTCAAATAACGAGGATTTGCTACAGTACCTATCAACGGGGTCCCACTGATTTTGTACTTGAAGCCTAGGAGACATAGTAGCGTGTACAAACGTTTCAAAGGCGAAACGTGAGGGTTCGATGCTTAACGAATTTTTACTGGCCCTGCAGGGTAAGCCGTTTCCCCTTTTCACGTTGCTGAACCAGAGAGAATACTTTATAGACGTTTCAACTGCAACTAAAGACCATAAAGCAAGTTAATTTTACCACATAGGCTGCTTGGGTCAGAAAAAAAATCTCCCAGGCATTTATACCAGCATACAACACAGATCATGAGACAGCTACTCTAAATTACTATACAATTCATACGGATAAAAATGCAGAGTCTTAAAATTAAACATAATTATTACAATGATTATATAGCCCAATATTGTGTTCACACCAGCACAGGTTTGATTCACGATTTCTGAAGATCATTAGCCCAACTCTACGCCGCTCTAACACTTGTTTAAATGGGTGATACATTTCGGTTTTTTTTCTGAAATATTGATTCCCCGCCGTGAAAAGCACACCTGTGTCTCGCTAGAACTGAAATGTAATAATTCCATTGTTTCTCTGTGGAGCATTAGTGCACTGAATTCTCTATTTATACTTCCACTACACGTTACTACAACAAACATACTTGAATGGATGTTTCCGTTAAGTTTTTGTCTGAAGTGCGCAGCGAATCGACCTTGTCTGAGTAAGTCTGTCTGGACTTGAAACGCAAAAAAAAAAAAAAAAAGAAAAAAAGAAAAAAAGAGAGAGAGCTTGATTCGGAAAGAGACATGCAGTGTGCAATCTCTATAAACTACAGCACAAATACACGCTGAGATTGCGACTTGCGCTTCCCAATGTCAGAAGCTCCCGAATACCGCAGTGAAAATTCACCAAAATATCAAAGTGTGGTAGTTGGAGGTATCCCGACGCATCCGATGGCAGACACCCAAACAGTGTTATTAATGAGATTTGAGCTGATAATGAGATAATGAGCTTTGACATTTGCTACACAATCCTTGGGAGCAAAGACTTGCCGAGAAGAGGGTAGGGGTGATATTTATCAAGCCTCGGCAAAGCGAATACGGTCCTGAAATGCCAATAGCTCACACAGACTTTCAAGTAAGTTGCGTTTGATCGCTTTGGCTGGGATTCGTCCGTCTCCACTATTCTGCCCTTTACGCAGCAGCAATTGTGTCTGTTCTGTAAATTTATTTTATGATACAGTTGTCATTCTGTGAAATCATAGTCTGCATTTATACATGCACGTATATATATATATATATATAATTAAAATCAGATTTGTACAGCTAATGCACAATTCCTTACAAATTCGTAGCATCATTCAATAATGTACAAAATCACCAGTTACAATTAGGAGAAAATAAAATGGTTTTTACCTTTTCGTTGTTTTACTTGTAATGCTAAATGAAACAGTCATTGAATTGGCATGTATCTTCAGCATTTTCAGATCGTGAAGTTATGGTCAGACATGATCACACTGAGGTCATCAGTCAAAAACATGAAGATGATTCGATGAGTATCATATGAATTATTAACCTCAATATGTCACCGTGATAAAAAGGCGAAGTTTTAGTCGGGAACAGCATCTGTCCTCTGTTCCAGTAATTCTATCATTTCGGGGGCACGGCACCCGGACGGTTGTTGTCATATGGCCGTTTTGACAGGCGACCTGGCTGCTTTGTAGTAGGCGCAGTCCACAGCCTTGACTTCCCTCCCAAACCTTGGCGTAGTAGACTGTTCCAGCACGGCCGTCTGTGTGGTGTAGCCCTGGCCCGGCCTTCGGTTCTTGGTTTTGCCGCAGACGTTGAATAAAAGGAATATGTACGGGTTAAAGGCGCTGCTGCACGGGGCGAAGACACTGAAAACGCTGAAGGCCACCTTATCGACGCTACCTTGCCCTGCAAACCCTCGGATGAGTTCGGTGGTGAAATACGGCATATTGCACACCACGTAGGCGCCGATGATAACAAAAGTCATTTTGAGGGTTCTCCATCGTGTCGATTTCTTCCAGTTGCTCTGAAAGAGATTTTTGCCATCGTTGTACAATTTAGCCACGATGCGAAGGTAGGAGACGCTGATAACTAAGAAGGGGATAATGAACACAACCGAGGCGATGTATAGGAGGTAGGCCTGGCGGAACGGGTCATCTTCGCCCATGAAGATTGTCCTGCAGTAGGCCGTACCGTTGAACTCGCCCTTGCGAAACACGTAGAGCTGCGGCAAGGACAGGAGAAAAGCCAAGGCGAAGGCCGTCGAGATCACCTTCAGCTCGGGCAGCTGCTTGCGAAGCGGGAAAATCACGGAATGGTACCGGTCCACTGCGATAGCGACCACCATATTGCTGGAGGCCATCAGCGCCACGCTCTCCATCAGCATGCGGACCCGGCACGCGGCGTCCGTCGACTCCCATACGTTCTCCTTCAGGGACATGATCAGCGACACCAGCAGCGGAATCATGCCAACACTGAGATCGGCCAGCGCCAGGAAGGTCATGTACACGTGGATTCTCGTGCGTTCTCGCCGGTGCACAAACAGCCAGTTGAGTACCAACACATTGCCAATGACAGTGACTACAAATATGACCGCTATTGCTATTGTCCGTGTTTTTTCATCGTGTCGGTACAGTTCCTCTTTCTCATCGTCCTCGCCCAACTTCAAGTACGTCGGTACAGTGGTGGAAACGTTTCCCTCTTCCATGCCGAAAAGCTTCAAATTTCTTTCCAACTCTTACCGAGACTACAGACAACGGTTGTTCTTTTCGGATTACTAGAATGCCTCTACAACTCACACCAGGGAACGTGGCTTTCTTACCGGGCACAGTCCCCTAACGCACGTTGAAGCCAGTGCAGATGTGTTCGAGCCAGTTTGTCGGAATCGATGCGCGCACTCCCTGGGTGGAAATTTAACCAACTTCAGGCATCGATCCGGGTATTAGCGCGCAGTCAGTGTAACAGGCAAGCCAGGGGTAGGTCACGAGCTGTGTACGGAGTCGGTGATTCGTTCAGGAGAGAGCAGATGTCTTATTGGTCAAGGGCTATCCACGCATGCTCAGTTTCAAAACTCGGCCAGCCGGTCTAGCGAAGAAGCACCAAGTAGAGACACTGTGCTCACTCTGAAATTGAATGAGGAAAATATACCTATTGAAAGAGCACACAGCTGAAATGCAGTAGACAAAAATCTCAAGCAATGAAACTTCTCCTTTTTTGTCTGTGAACTCCTCAAACAAGTCAGACAAGACAAACCTTTAAAGAATAAGGGAAGTACTACACCAATAAAGTCCAAATGCCGACCGCATACCTTCCGATTTAACCACTTATTCGGATCATCGGGGTATCGGTCGGTACAAATCGGAAGGAGCTCAGTGCAAACCTGGAACGATTCACCGACACACCCTTCGACAGGAATGTTTGGTTTTTATGAATTGGATCTCATCGGATCCGATGTCACGGCAAAGGTGTGCCGGTAACGCTGGCATTTCGCCCGAAGCGGTATCTATGTTAACCAATCAGATTCACGATGAGAGTCACGATTCGTATTCGAATGGCCGTAGAAACAGAAACGCTATGGTCTAATCAACTGGAACCCTAGCTGTTTACATAACGCGACAAGCAACGATTTTGGTTTTTTTGCCATGAAGCTGGTTGGTGACGCAATCCTCGTAAAATGTTAAGGTGAAACGAAACAGCGGACATAAGTATTTATTTGACTGTCCATCTCGTGCCTAATTGTTGGCGGGAACTGCATATGTTATGCACGGTACCCTGGTGGTTTAATATTTAAAACCACACCTGTGAGAAAAAGTACCTGCAATCAGGGGACCCGACGAACTGGTGAATCAAAGAACATGTGCCCAAATCTGTATCGAGCAACATCGTCCTAAATTATTGTTGCTAAATAGTACGGCCATTTACAGAAATAAAGAAAAAGGACTGTACTCCAACGAAAGTATGTTCCATTATTAGATCGAAGGGAATTTGCACACAACAGCGCCCTTGTGTGAAATTCATCACATGGCAACCCTAACATCCGTAATTAGACCTTTGATATTTCTCGCGTGTCTCATAAATGATTGAGTTGTGTATTTTCGCCAGGGACCGTTCGCCTTTAACTTGTCTGATATATTCTGCACCAGAAACAAAGCAACGTCAATGTCCGGCAGCTGGCTGTTTCTCGCAATCGTCCGAAATAGACAAGATGCCCATATGCTATGCATGGTCACGGACCGAAGCCGACACACATGCCCTTTTCACGAAAACAAAAGCAAAGCTCGCTCTAACGCGATGTGTTGCAAAAATGGGATGGTATCGACCGGGCAGAGATTTTTCTGCTCGTTTTGTTCCTCTCGTTCGTACTTCTTCAGTTGTCGTCTGCTTGGTGCGGCAGGCTGGCTACCTAGCGCTGCTGCCTTCCTCCTCACTCGAAAACACTTTGCTCGTTGAAGCTTGGACCGATCGATAGTGACGCGGGTACAACGATGCCTTCGTCCGGTCTTTTGTTCGATATTTCCCATAGATCGCCTTTTTGGTGCTAAATTGCTTGTCGGATTTGGCACCCCGTGCAAGGGGGCCTCCGTGGAGTACGTAAGCCCGATTTTTTTATATCTTTCCCCATGTCACACGTACGAAACCCCGCACGAATACGAACTCTATGATATATCTTTTTACTTATCAGACCACCTTATTCTGGAATTATTAAACTTTCACTTTAATATCAATTACGTAAATACGTACTCGAACGTTCGAATAACAGGTTCAACGGACACGTTGAAACTTGTGCAGGGCCTACACAATGCTTAGCTAGAATGTCGTGGCGAGGTATCCGTCGTGCTGGCCCATACTGGTATCGGTCGATTATCGCGAAAATGTCAAAGTAGTTTGCATGTGAAATAATTGTATGCTTGTTAATTCCGCGTTAAGTTTCTCAAAACGTTTTGGCTATCATTTCTTGTTCACTAATCATGTGCCGAGAAGTTAATGTATGTTGCAGAGATACGCACAAGGCAGTTGAGTTCATCCGGTTCGTAAGTGTGACGTCACTTCAGTTTAAGCCACGCCCACTGCACATACACTGCACATAGAATTACTTGCATTGATCGCCGTTTGGAACCACGGAACCGGAAGTTTTTCTCGCAGAAATATGCTTTATTTTGTAGCTTGCAAACGTGAAAATAAATTGCAATAGCATCCGGTAAAATGTCATCTTGGAATTTTGGCAACAAGGTTTTGCCCGTATACAACTGGCTTACTACTTTTCGTATTCCTGAATCTGAGAATCGGACTGTTTTTCCCGACTGCTGGAGGTAAGTCAATAACTTACAGTGCAAGCCTAATGTCTCGCTTCGGATAACGGGCGTCGGTCACTTCGCCCCATTTCCACTCCCCCCCCATCCCCACTTCGCCCCATTTTCACCCCCCCCCCCATTCCCACTTCGCCCCATCCCCACTTCGCCCCATTCCAACTTCGCCCATTTCCACTTTCCCCCATCCCCGTTCGCCCCATTTCCACTTCGCCCCACCGATTATTGTTCACTCTGTTCTTGAGTAACAGAGGCATAGGCCTAGATATAAAAAAATATAAACATCGACGTTTGAGTATCCAAATAACGGTGGGAGAATCCAACTTGCAAAGGTCAAAATAAAGCTTCCAATTTCCCGACCGATCCAAATGTTTTGGCGAGACCATGAAATTTGTATTGGTAAGTTAGAAAAGACAAATTTAATGATTATAAGAAAGACAAATAAATAACTCATGTTGTCTTTTCTGTCTTCCCGAACACCTCAGAACAACACTTTTGTCATTTTAACGCTTGCTTTTTACGTTTTTCCAGTTACATTTGCAACATCTGAAAAGCAACTTCAGTTAATTTCACGAATTCTCCTCGTGGTTCACCGTCGCTGTGGTAAAAACATGTGCGCAAAGCGCTGGTTCCCGCCGCGCCGCACCCATGCAAGAGAATGCGTGAAGGAGTATAGCAACCAGTCTACTCATGCCACGGTGACTGTACATGAACGTGACCTCACGCATCGAAAAAAATACCGATGTTGCAATTAAGATTTCTTCAAGTTAATTCCCTTTTCTGTGTGTGTATTTTCTGTGTTCCTGAGTTTACTTTTAGGTTGTTTTGCTCGTACTTGAACCAGCATGTTTCCACAAAATTTCCTGCTGCGGTGTATCAAACTTTATTCGATCGCCTGGACACAGCAACTGGATAAATCGACAATTATCAGAACGATGTGTACAATACTGTGTATCGCTTTGAAATAAACTTGAAGAGGGTGATAGTAAACCCAATGCTAATCCAACCATAGGTATTACTTCACCATGGACAACGAAGTCGACGTTAATCTCGTGAATGCCGTAGAGTTTTCAACATACATGTACATGTATAACTCCATGCCGTTTGTGGAACTACTTTCTCGACCATTTTCTGAAGAGGCTTGTAACACACTCGAGCACGGACGGTGCAATGTGGAAATGGGGCGAAGTGGGGAAATGGGGCGAAGTGACTTTAAAGCGGGATAACCCTTCAATCGTGTCCCAATTATTGTGCGTCAAAGCCATCGCTAGGAGATTTGTTTGTGCCCAGCTGACCCTGTTCAGCTTTTCCCCTTCAACAGATCATGTCAGTTGTAACTGAGTCAATACTTTGAGTATTAATACATCATCGGCTATAATGGCATACCTCAAGGGAGGAGATTTGCCATTGCTGCCGTCTCTCTGCGTGCGCATGCGACGAATGGCCTTTGCTTAATTTTAGCCCCTTCATCTTTGGATTGGGGATCATGAAAAAAGCAGTTGTTCAGTGATCGTCAACTCAAGTAGTCTAAATTTAAAACTGGCAACACGGATTTTCTTTTAGGTAAGACTGCGATTTCCATCACCCACGGCCGCAAGAAAACGGGGGGGGGTATTTTTCTTTATTGATAATGGGACAATTTCCCTTTTCACTGGAGCTGTTTAAATTGGATGTTACGGGTACCAGCTTTTTCGGACACAAAGCTTTTAAATAGTACCTGCGCAGGAAGTAACGCGTTGTTAGAAATGAGGTATTTACGCGCGTGCCATTCTCAAGTGGACTCAGAATTCAGACTATGCGGATTGTAAAAAGTCACGGAAATATACGGGTAGTTGTAAGGAGGGAATAAAAGTTTTACTCTGTCAATTTAAAATGGCTTTTTAACAAATTGTTACTGAACACGGTACTGTGCTGTGCCAAAGAAATTCTGAAACCCTGTAGAATAGTCCACTCTCTCTGAATAGAACATTGGGCTTAGCCTCTGGCTTATTTTGCCCACTTGGGCATACAAACGGACAAACCTCGCGACAACGATAACGCATTAATTCTAAAATCGAGGTCTTTTTAAAGGGGTTATCCTATCCCAGACCTTTCCTTGCATGAACGGTTGTTAAACAATGAGTCAAAAGTCCCTGATATGCTATTTTCTTTGGGGGAAGTTTTAGGCATTGTAGAAAAAGTAAATATAACCAAATACCTCAGTTAAAAGATAAATACATGCTGCAATAATTACTTTAAACAAAAAAGCAAGGGCAAAACTGATACCCCTTAAATTTGGCAGGCAAGAAATCCACGAATGAATATTCATATTTTTAAAGTAATTGCATTTCATATTTGTTCCTCTAAAGTCACCTTCACAATCTGCCGGTCGGCAAGTTACGTACCCCCCCTTCTTGACAAGATAGAGTGAGTCATGTTTTCCTCTGTCTTGTCAGCTAAAAAAAGCGCGAACTCGAACTTGCCAGTTTTGACGGGAAACTTCATGCGACGTTGCCATGCCAACAGGTATTGTATAAATATATGTCAGAACGGCACCCACGCAAGAGTAGATGGGGGAACTGATTAAATTTTAAGGAACCGGTCCACGGAAGGTTTTTATAGCACACAGTCACCTCGCGTACCACCACCGTTATATGCATTTAAAAGTTGCAATATTGGCAATGTAAATGCCAATGTTAATTCAATTTTTGCCCGGGCAAACTGAGCTAGCTATTCAGTATGCACGTAGACGAACATGAAAAGCGCGGAAACGAGCAGATGGGAAAAGAAGGCCCAGAAAAAAAAACGTTTAAAAAGCAAGATCGTATTACCTACATTACTGAATGTGTTTACATATCTTCTGAAGAAATGGAGTGTAGGCCCTATGGTACGGTAAACTGTCTCAAATTTCAATTTCATGAAATTAGGGTTTATGTTACCTCACCGGCACATTGTCAAGAGGGCATCACTTGCACAGGTGCTCTGAATCACAGTTGGTGTCTCAAACTACATTCCATCTCTGATAAAAAGAAAAATGACCATATCGACCGAGAATGCCACTTCCAGCGGTAAATGTATAAAACTTGTGCAGGCTTCATTTATTACAGATCATGAATTTTGTCGATTTATTGTCCGTAACGATTTCTTCCCGTCTGGCTGTGAACGCCTGTCGGTCAATAACAGTCCACTGAAAAGTGCAATCTCAACGAGCACTCTGGTTAAAATCACCTGTATTACTTGGCATGCCTGCTCACACTGGTTAAAATTA